TTTTATATAAATTTAAAGTTATAAGAAAATTATTCTTAAAAACTTATAGTTATTAATTATATAATTTTTATAATTTTTAAGTAATTTATATTAAAACAAGTTTATAATAAAAATAAAGTAAAATAATTAGAAATAAGGTTATATTAAAAAAATAAAATATTATTGATATATACAAATATCTAAAGTAAAGTTTTAGTTTCTTTATAATAAATCTTATTAATATATTTATTTAACTAAATATTACTATTTTTAAAAGGAAATTTTAAGATAACATTAATTTTAAAACCTTTAATATAGACAATATTCTTGAAAATAAGATCTCCTATTTATTTTTTATTAAATGTATAAAAAGTTTTATAAAAATTATTTATATTTATTTCATAAATTATTAGAATTTAATTTTTTGTAATAACTTTTTTAAATTTCTTAAGTGGTTTATAATCTTGTAAATAGTTTAAGTTATTAATAATATAATTTGAAACTATAATATTATAAACTATAGAGAGCCATAGAAAGCTATTATTCTCTCTATTTATATTAAAAATAGATTTAAACTTTTATTTAGATGTTTTAAAAATAATTAAACTTATATATAATAACATAAATATAATAATAACTATATTATTAAAATATGTAATATTTTTAGTAATATATCTTTTTATTTCTATAATATCTTTTAGTTTAAGCTATTTTTTACTTATAAAGGTTTAATAAATTAATTTCTATTCTTTTTAAAATATTTTAGTTTTAATATTAATTTAGAATTTTACAGTAACTTTTAAAGCTAATTAGTAAAATATCTTATTAGTTAATATAAATTTAATTTTTATGTAATCTTTAAGAGACTAAATATATTATAAAAATTATTTTTTATTAATAAATTTATAACATAAATTTTTTTTAACTTCATTAAAAATATTTTTAGATTTTTAAAAAAACTTTATTTTTAAATTTTAGTATTTTAATTTTAAATTCTTTTTAAGTTAAACTTAAAACTTATAGGTTATTAGATCTACTATTAATTATTATAAATATCTTATTAAGTTTAAGATTTTTTTAGTAAGAGCTTAATTAGTTAATTTTAATAAAGATCTTCTTATCTTGTTTTAATTTTAAAAAAAATAGTTTAAATAATTCCTTATAAGTAATAAGATTTTAAATTATTTTTTATATTTAATTAAGAGTAGTTTAAACCTTAATAATTTATAAAAAGTATTTAATTATAAAAGTGTTTTAGATATTTAAAATCTTCTAAGTTATGATTTAGTGGTAATAATTAATTTAATAGTTATAAAAGTTTATTAAGCTAATATTTAAATAAATAGCTCTATAAACCATATTAAAGTAGTTCTCTTTTATAATAGTTTATGTAGCTAAATTACTCTTTATAAATTTATTTTTAAGTAATCTAACTACTATTTAAAGAGAAAATAATTTATTACTTTTAATATTTAAAATAGTTTAATTTATAAATCTTTATAAATATATAAATACTAAAATAAGATTTATATTATTACTCAAATAAAAAATATCTAAAATATATAACTTAAATAGAAATAAAGCTTTAACTCTTAAAATAAACTTAAATAAAATATAGTTTTTATTAAGCTTATTTAAGATCTAAAGCTTAACTATATTTATAAGCTTTTTATTAATATTTATAAAAGATTAATTTTAAATATGTCTTCAAAGTTAGTCTTTAATTTTCAGTTATCTTAAATATTAACTTCTAAAATAAACTATTATTTAATAAATATTTTATATTTATGTTAAAAGAGGACATTCTTAAATATTATAGATATTAGCTTAATTAGCTTAAAAAGAGATTATATATAAATAAATATAAAAATAATAAAGATTTAAATAACGTTATTCTTATTAATAGCTTATTATTATTAAGTTCTAATAGCTTTGTTTTATATATCCTCTTAAGCTTCATTATCTATTTATTGTATAAAATTATTATTATAAATATCCCTCTTATTTTTATTTAGCTAAGTAATATAGTTTTTAAGAGAAGGGATATTTATCCTATTAGTATTTCTAAAAATAAGTATATTAAGTTTATTCAAATTAACTAAATCTTAAATAGTATATATGATATAGGTAATTTTAAAATAATTAAACTAAACTAATTAGTTTTTTATAAATTTATAACTTAATTTATATATTTTTTAGATAAGAGCTTATTTTAAAAGAGTAAAATATCTTATAGAATATATAAAAGTAGTTATATATAAATAGAAATATAAAGACAGAAGAGAGAGATCTACTTACTCTATAAAATATTCTGATAGTAATAAAAAAGTAAAATTAAAGTTCTAATAAACTACGCTTATAACTACTAAAAGCTAGTAATTAGAGAAAATTAAAAAGTTTATAAAAAGGTATATATTACTTAAGAAGAAGTTACTGTTTTAAGTATTTTTGTATTATAATCTTATGAGGCTTATAATAGTTATATAACCTACTCCCTTAGTGAGGCTTATTAAAGAAGCTATATAAAGTAGAAGATATATTATAAGTTAAACTATTATAATAATACTTCTCTTTTATTAGTTGAAATTAAGATTTAATAAAGTTTTTAATTGAACTATAATATTAATTATAAACTTTAAAAGAAATATTTTATTTTAATTACTTATTTACTAAATAAAAAAGGATAAAAAAGAAGTAATAAAAGAGAGATATATATCTTCTTTTCTATAGAGATAGTATAAAATTATTCTTAAAAAAGAGAAATATTTTTAGTTAAGCTTAGAAAATATTCTTTTTTTTTATAAAAAGTTAATATAGTTATAATCTTTTTCTTTTTTAGTTTTTTCTATTTTTATATTTATAATAGTTTATAATTTAAGAAAACTAATTTTTAATATTTCTATATATAAGTATAACTTAGATCTTAAGTTTTTAAGTTTTTTAAAGCTTCTCTTTATTAGTTAATATATTATTAAAACCCTTTTGATAAGTTTAATTAAAAAAAGTTTTTTTAAAATAAATTAATTAGTTTTATCCTTTTTAAAGTTTATAAGAGGAGTAAAATAAATTTAGTTATTTTTATAATTTTAGGTTTTAAAAATAAAAGTAAATGAGTTCATTTTATTTTAATTATTTTTAATTTATTATTATAATAGCTTCTAATAAAGTAATATATAATAATTTTAAATAAATAGATAGTAAGCTAATAAAGAAAACTTATTAAATTTATATAAACCTTTATTTTTTTTATTATATTAAATACTTTTTTTCTTAAGGTCTTCTAGATTTCTATAATTTTAGTTAAGCTTTAATTCTAAAAGCTTAAGTTACTACTTTTTACTTTAAAAGAAGAGAAATAAAAAAGATATTGATTAAAAAATCTTTAATATAATCATATTTAAATTACTTCTGTTTTAAGCTTTTTTTATTTTAATTTAATAAAGTAGTATAAAATAACTATAAAAGAAATCTTTTATAATAGTTTAGGTTACTTCTTTATATTAATTACTAATTTTATAATAAAATAAGAGAGAAAACTTATTAATTATATTAAGTATTTATTTTAAATATAAAACCCCTTAAAATACCTAAATATTTATATATTAATTTTCTAGCTAACTATTAGAATATAAAAATAAGTATTTAAATATAAACTTAATTAACGTATATTTTACTTATATTTTCTACTCTTTTTATATCTTGAGTTATATAATGTCTTAAGAGAAAATAAACTACTAAAAAGAAGTTTAATAATATTATCTTTATAGTATTTTATTTTATTTTAGCTTTAAATAACTAAAGAAGTATAACGAAAAGTAAAAATAAAATAAAAATAGAACTAATTAAAGCTAATAAAACTTAAAAAAATTAGTTTTTAAAATATAAAAATTAGTAAATTTATATTATAAATTAAGCTAGTTAAAAGATCTTAAAGTTTCCTTAAAGAGTTAGTTATTAAACTTATTAAAAAGATTAAAAGAAAATATGAAAAAAAATATTTCTTATTTATTTATTTTATCTTTTTTATTATAAGCTAATTAAGCTTCTATTTACTTATATATACTATTTCCTCTTATAATAATACCTAACGCTTATAAAAACGCCTATTTAGCCTTTTACTTTTAAGCTAAAATTACTAAAAATTCTAAGAACTCTAATTTTTTTTACTATATAAATATAGAGCTAATTATATTAAGGCTAAATACCTTATTAAAGCTTTTATAGCTTAAGAATAGCTTTATTAAACCTTTTAATAAAATGCTATAAATATTATTATAAAAGGGGTTTTTTACTTAAAATAAAATACTTAATATAATTAGGAACTTTTTACTTTTACTTTATTATAATATAAGTCTAATAATATATATAATTTTAATACCTATTTGACGCTCTAATCCCTTATAATTATTCTTTATATAATTACTAATTAAACTACTATTTTTTTATAAACGCTATTTCTTTTTATAATAATACTTACTATTTATAAAAACGCCTATATAGGCCTCTTACTTTTAAATTAAAGCTATTTGAAATTTTAAACCCCTTTATTTATTTAATAGTAAACTAGTCTTAATAGATATTTCTAAAGGCTATAGATAGTTACTTATCCTAGGTTTATAAACTCCTTCCTAAATATATTACATCTGCTTAAAGTAGCAACTCACAACCTCTCAAGTTAGGATAGAACCTAACCTATGCTGTTTCCTTACCTTAGCACCATAGCTCTCTGACCTCTTAAAGCAACATATCCCTCTTGAGACAACTAACTTCACTTTGCCAACTCTTTCAAAAAGACCCTAGGAGCTTCACATTGCCATACCCAACTAAGGTCAACTCAGAAAAGAGATTCTTCACTCACCTAAACAGCAGCAGTTCTTTCCGTCTCATCTCCCTGAGCACCTTCGACGTCGCAGTGCCGGCCCCTGATTACTAACGGCAATACTTTCGGTCAAGTAGCGACGATGGAGGATTCTCAACTCACATTCGACATTCCTCACGTGCTAGAAGAACGCTTAGCTCAAATGAAGCGAGAAGAAGTTGCGATGATCAGAGACCGGGTGAAGCAGATCAAGAACGAATTCATGGCACCGATGCCTCGCCAAGACATCGAAGCTCTTCTCGCTGACCGTCGGCTTTCTCGCACATTGGAAGCCAAGATCACTTGCACTGTCGCTCGCCAGATATGCCATCGTCATCAGCATCTTCGGGCAATCATCTGTGAACATCTCGTCCTGAAGGGCCAAACTCTTCCGGTGGCTGATATCGACGACCTTTTTTTCGATGCCCAAGAAAGAACGAAAAAGATGACTGCTTACTATAACCAGAATAATTCCAGAGAGATTGGTATTCTCTTCTTTCACATGAGCCACCACCTTCTCCTCACGAAGTCTCTCGGCCTGCACCCACTCCTTGACCTCGATACCGCTGAAAATTTCTTGAGGGATATGCATGAAACCGAGAGAAAAATCGGAAATCGATGGAATCAAGTTGCCGCCCAGCTCAGGGAAGCCTTGGACAGGCAAGTGGTGGATGAGGTCGGAGAAGACATCATCTGCAATGAGCGGTTGGTCAAGCGCAACACCGATATGATCGCATCAAAGCTCGCCGACAACTATTGGAAAACATTGGAACATGCAGAGAAGCAGGTCTTGAAATTGTGTGCGACCAAAACCGGAGTAACATTCATGGATATACTCGACGCCCACACCAAGGCATTCAAAGACCGCGACAGAGACGCATTCCAAGTTGTCAAGCGCATCGGAAAAGAGCACCGCGAGACTGTCATCATGTTCAAGCACGCATCGGATAATGCCGAGTCACACAACGTCAAACTGGTCAACGAGCCCAGTGAGGATGATGTCACGGTCAACCATCAACCTTCAACTCACAATCCCAAGATTGTCAATACTCTGATTGACCGACTCTCTGATATTAGAAAGGAACAAGGCCTCGAAGCCTTGGCGATGAGATGCGCCAAGTCTACTGCGATAGGTATACTTGTCGCGTGGGGGGTTGATTCCATCTATATGGAAGAAAACCATCTGGCGGCAAGCCTGGAGAAGATTCGGCTCCTTCATCAGATCGGACACCAGCGGATAATTCAGCATTGCATGGAAAGGGTCCAGGTGTTCTCCGAGGAGAGGAGTCGAGGCGGTCAGCCAGTCACCTGTTCCCAGCTCATGCAATATACCATGGAAGTCTGTAGGGACATGGAGAGGGAGATCGCACAAGATGAGGGTGGAATTCATTCTGACATCATATCGGAAGGACTGGGTTGGACCAAAGCTACGAAGAATCAAGACCAGGGTGACAGACTTTAACAGGGATCTGACCGGAACAGTGGCGACGGAACGAGAAGAGTGCCAGGAAACGGCATGTGGATCAGCATTTGCAGACTCTTGGCCATAATCGATGAGTCTGTAGACACGCGAGTCTTGAGTTAAGCATTGGAAATGCAAAGAACCACCTCTAACCAGCTATATGGCGGTTTCTAGGATAAAGCAAACTTTCACGATCAATATGGAACAGCTGTATTGCGATGAGTCATATACTGGGATATCTTCGCGACTGCGACGTGTTCGTGATCATTGAGGATCGGGCATTCACACATTGAGCAGCGCGTCAACGACTCCATCATATAGGGAGTTGGGGGACTGCATATTGACTTACTTTTCGTCCAGGCATGTCTTTGCAAGAACCTGACCCAGGCGATAGCGGGCCACTTTTTCTCTTTCATCGACCGAGACCAGTCTGCAGGCGATGATACCAATTAGGTTCCCCTTTCAAAGCCGGTCGGGACAGGGGTTGGTGCCTGCACAAGTCAAAGTGCCGCCAGATGCCAAGATATATAGCTAAATACTGTATTTTCGGAGGCGCTGTCGAGGATTCAAGGGCTTCCTACCGCCTAGAAGCTAGGAAAAGGGAGAACAGGCATTCGTTGGAACCCGTGGTGCGGGCTGAAGAGATTATAGGGCACAATCGGGTCCCGGGATATTGCAAATACTTGATCGTTTGCGGGAAGCGAGATCGTGGAACGGTAGAAAGACGCATAACCAGATGGATCCCTTTGAAGAACAGTGAAGTGGTATTAAACAGGTGGATTGAAGAAATGTTATGTACAATATGCGTTGAAATGCCGCTCCAAGTAAAACAAGGTAAACCTCTTCCTCCGATCAAACCATATCATGATAATAGTGAGTGAACAAGCATAGCCCTACAAAGGGGGGGCATTAGGATCCATCATACACTGATCGACTCTCATCAGTTGTTTCCCAGTTGCCTTCGCCTTCTGAATGAATGTCCTCAAGTAGGAGACGGTGCTGGGGTACAGGTAGTGCATGACAACCAGGGAGCCGCCCTTGTCCAGGTCACGCTGGAAAGAGTCCAGTTGCTTCTCGGGAGTGTCCGACTGAGCATAGAGCCAATCCTCGACGTCAATGTTCCAGTTGACGATGTAAGGGTTGTCGTCCTTAGTGGATCGGACGAGTTGCTGACGCATGCGAGCACCCTCGTTACCGAAGGGAGGTCGGAAGTACTTCGTAGTGATACCGAACATGTCTTGAACAGCCTTAATGTCCTGGTCGTACTCCCAAGATATCGCGTCATTGTTAGGCAGACCCTCCATACGAGGGTGCGTGTAGCTGTGAAGGGCGATCTGGTGGCCCTGGCTCATCATGTCCTTGTAGATGGCACTCAAATTGGTGCTGGAGTCCCGCAGAGGTGCACCGACCGTGAAGAAGGTTACTTTAATGTTCTCCGACTTGATGACCTCCATGACCTCCTGGGCGAACTTCGGGTCGCCATCATCAATAGCAAAGGCGATCGAGTTGGGACGCTTGCACGCAAAGATGAGATTCCCAGACGGCAGCTTCTCTGGGATCAGAACCTTGGCTGGGACGGACGGGACGATCTCAACCTTTGTCAAGGTGACAGCTTCGTTGGTATAGAAACCCTTGAAAGCGATACCTATCGCACGCTTCCGCTGGATGTTGAAGTGCGAGATGGGAATGTAGATATCGTTGCCAGTTGCGTAACGTGCAGCCTCAAGAGAATCCCATGTCTCAGGGAAGGGCGAGGCAGTCTCGTCGCAAGCTTGGTTGTGCTGTTGCATAGCAATCGAGAACTTATTGCTTCCAGAGTAGGCCACATGGAGATAAGAACCGTCATAGCCGGTCATATCGGCACACTTATCGGAGAGCTGCGTGTAGAAGGAGAAGTCGGCATCTGGCGCCTTGATGGTGACCCTGTTCGTGCCCCAAGTGAGAGCAGTATCGACGTCACCTCCATGCCAGTAGCCAAGAGAGTTGGAGTCCTTCTTTGAGAAATTATCAACAATCTTGACCGAGCCAGTACTGCTCGGGGCAGGGACGGTTGAGACAGCAGCAGTGTCGGTTGGTTGAGTCGCGACAATATACTCAGATGGTGTGTTGCCGCAGTAGAAAGCCATCGGGCCGAAAGTCACATCCGAGGACAACGAACCAAAGAGAATTGTTGTCATCTTTGATAGGTCGGCACCCGAGAACTTGGAAAAGGGGATGCTGTAGAGCTTCTCTTCGCCGTTGAATGTCCACCCGAGTTCCTTTGATGTCTTGGTAGCGAAGGCAGAGTCCTCCCCGCACGTTGGCGACGAGGCCAGCTGGATGGATAAGGTCGTGCCGGCCTTGGCCTTGATGCGCAAGGAAATACCGCCGTATCCCTTCACCTGTGTGTTGGTGCAGGCAACCTTGCTGTAGAAGTAGGAATCCCCACCGTTGGGCTTCAGCGTGACCCGATTTCCCGAGACAGTGATCTCTTTCATCGTGCTATCGTCACTACTGGGCTGTAACATGGCGTTGTAGTAAAGAAATGTCAGTCGCGATTGCGAGGCCCAGTCGTCAATCAAGAGATTACTGCAGCTCGAGGATACCGGCGAAGATTGGGCGGCAACGGAACTAGATACAGTCGAAGAGCGAATGCTCGATGACCCGGACGCGGTGGGGACAGTAGAGACTGAGACGGAAGTTAGAGACATCGATCTCGAAGGAGCTGCGCGCGAGGTTGACGAAGAAGCGTTCGATGTACGAGAGCTTGAAGGAGATTTGGTTTGGCGGGATGAGGAAGCAGACGTACGAGATGATGGGCCCGTTTGGACAACTGACATGGTCGTGGAGCTTGGCGATCGTACCGAGGTGGCGAAGGATGAGGTTGTGCCAGAGGAAGCGCGAGCAGTAAGTGACGCCGCGCTTGTTGAAGACGAAACCGCAACAGAGCGAGAAGTCGACACAGAACCAACAGTGGTGGTAGTGGCTGGGGCAGTCGAAATGGAGGGATTCGACCCGCCGCTGCAGGTGAACTGGAGATTGCTGAATTGATAATTGTCAAACTTGGAATAGGTTGACCAGACGAAGGCTGAGACTGCGTCCAAGTTGGCGTTTGTGAAGGATGATAGCGCGATAGAGATGTTTTGGGTCGAGCCAGTCAACCCGTTGATCTGGACCCATTGGCTGTTGTAGTTGTCATCTGCACAAGATGCCTTGGTTTGTATCTCCAGCATCATGGAGGCATCTTTAGGTCCCTTGACCGTCAAAGAGAGGGCATTATAGCCTTGGGTGGCCGCCTTGACGCAGCCGAGAGTCTCGTAGTAGTAAGAGGAACTGTCTGTCTTTGGAGTGAACGAAAGGATGCCCTTGCTGATGGCGACCTTTGACATGGAAGTGTCTTCGCTGGTCCACGCATCGAGGTTGTTGCTACCGGAAACGGTAGATCGTGAGAAGTTATCGATAACAAGATTGGAGCATGCCGCCTGGGCAGCTCCGGCTAGGCCCAGAAGGCGTAGCAGGGTAGAAGACATGTTGATGATGTACAGCCAAGTTGGGATGTCTAGTGAGAAAGAAAGGCACTCCTCGGGCGGGGAGTAGAAAGAAAGACTAGGGGTCAAAGCCGATGATGATGTTGGGAGTGATGGAGCATTTCCTAGTAACAGGGAGGAGACGAGATGGTTTATATATCTATATATTGTGTCTTGATGCTGATATCTTACTGGCCTGCTTTAGTGTCAGAGCCGGATTCTTCGCAGGGCCTTCACCTCTGGTGTAGCATCGGACACTTGTCCAGCTACCTGACGGGTAAGCAGTTGGTAGATGGCTCAGACGCAGTGCCATGCCATACTAACTCAGGTGTAGAGGAGGAGCATTATGGGTCCTTGGCGTTGGACAAAGCATGGAGGCCAGCTTAGACTGCTACGTAGGATTCGCGAGAACGCTAAAGACCGCCTCACGACCTGGACGTTGAGCGTTGTCCCCCCCGATGAAGAAGCGTTGTGGAGACGAACGTCCTGCCAAGCGAACAAGAAATCCCACATGGCTAATTGACGAAGAAGGGCGTTGTGGCTTGATGGCCCGAATACTTGGTAGTGGCTTCGAGACAAACAGTTACCGCCATGTGGTCAGAGAGATACACAAAGGGCCATCGAGTATGTGTTGGAGGGTAAAAAAACCGGACCTTCATCTTTGTCTGTCAGGAGGAGGAGGTTAGGTTCGCGGTTTTAGGGGTCTGTAGAAGTCGAGAAAATGTCGGTTTAGGAAAGGCGTGGAAAGACAAACAATGAAAGAAGAGCGGGCCAAGTCGTTGAACATTTCATCCAACGCAACTCGAAACAAGACAACACGAGGTGTGGCAAAAGGAGATGAGGTTTTGGTGCACCGTCCTATTGGGCTAGCCATATCCGGTCCATGCTGAACAAGCAAGACAAGACCGCCACCATCAGGTGAGCGCCGCCAACGCTTTCTTGAACGCGTGCTTCAACTTGTCTGCTGCAACTATCCAAGAGATCTTCGGGTGATACCCCTTTTGGCTGGCCTGACAAGTGAAGCCATTTTCATCATGAAGGTCGAGGTGACACACAAACTTTTCTGATGCCCCCTTTGTCGCTCACTAGAGGAACATGAAACAAGTGAAGATGTGCATTCTAGCGTCGTAGCTTTCCTCAGCTAAGCCAAGTGCCTGGATCGGTTGCAAAAATAAACATGGAATTAGCCACGTCCCCCACACTTGACGGGTCAGTGCAAAGCTGCGGTAAACCTGGGAAACGAATTTAGCAGTCGAAGGCCATCTTCTTTCTCCTGGCATCCCGGCCTAGCTGTGTCCATGAATCTCAGCGCGAGTTACGACACAAAGAGCGAAACCAGCCCTCGCTTCACACGGCTTTTGATGAGAAATAGACGGGGGCCGCCTGGGATGGCGCGCCACAGTTTCTCATCCCCAGGTACAACATCATCTCCAGAGACCCTGTCAGCTTGATAGGCTTGATGATGGAAGATGCGTCAATGAGTTCGCAACATGCTATCGTTCCCTCCGTTGTGCGCCAGTGGTCAGTCACTTCCTGGGCTGCTGGCCGTCTGCGCCCTATCAGTCTGCTCGCTATACTCCGCAGGCAGTCCTATCTTTATGGGGGCCATGGGCTGGTTGTCAGTAACATTCGGCGTGTGTTAGTGCCCAGGCAGATTTGGCCTGTAGCAGCAAACGTACGAATGGCGGATGCCATCACCGCCGTAGCGCGAGTCCATCCTGGCGGCATGGACGGGTGACTGGAGTCCTGATCACTCTATGGCTTCCAGTGTCCGCCGCGGCTCGTTCATAGCAGAACGCAAGTACTATGAGGCCATTGACCAGACAACGTGACATTGGAGGAAGTGAATCACTCACATGAATACTTGGAAGGTCGCATCGGGCCCGTAGCTGTTCGTAACGCATCGCTTGGTGGATGTTGTTTTGGCAAAGACCTTCCATGGTTGCCAAGCGATGGTACATCGACATTCGATGCTCGTTCAAAACCCTAGGTTGAGCGACCTGAATCGTGCAGACGGATCAGGAGAGTTGCGGCAGAGGAGGACGAGAGTCCTGGCGGCGGCAACACGAAAAAAAGTTCACGGGAGAGCTATGGGTGGCTGCAGGAAGGATGGGCTGTGAAGTATGATGGAGTTTGAACTATTGATGGGCTAGACTGAGTGTTGTCGAGGTATCCACGATGTGAGCAGTGTCGACGCCAAGTTGTGGTTTGGCCCAGGGATCCAACGTGTTCGTTGTCTGTTCAACCGGATGGTTCCCGTAAGTGTGACGGGAGGGCGCTGTCGACCGTCGACTGCCGCCTTGGTCTCAAAGCGCCAGCGGCAATGCGATGTGGTAAAGAGATAGCTGCTTGATGGCGACAAATGGTGCAGTCTGTTGCACTAATAGCGTCCGCCCCCCCTTTTTACTAAAATTATGGATACATAATCCCTATATATATATAAAATTTTATTTAATACTATACAAATATTTATAGTATAGTAATTAACTTATTTTAATAGCTTTAATTAATGAATTCCTATTAAATCTTACGATCTAAAAGTATTATAATACTTCTTAAGCGTTACTATATACCTCAGTAAGTAAATAATAACTTATCTAAATATTATCTATTACTTATTACTAATAGTATATAGAAATACTAATATATATAATAACTAATATAAAATACTACTAAAGATCCTCTTTAATATTTTATTTTACTATTGATTAAGATTATTATACTTATTAAAAAAGCTTATTAAGCTATTATTACTAAAGAAACTATTAAAAAAGCTATTATTAAAGTTATTATTATTAAAATTAGTCTTAAGATTAATAATTTAATAACTTCTAAATCTATATTGTAAAGAAAATATATATATAGCCTTTCTAGTATTATAAAAAGCTCTAAAAATATTTTCTTATTAAAAATAATGATAATATAGAAAAAATAAAAATAAAATCTATTATAGAAAATCTAGCTTTAAAATATTTTATTTTTATTAATATTATTATTTTAACTAAATTTAATTTTAGTTAACTTAACCTCTTATTAAATTATTTAATTTATAGATAATATATTTATAGCTTTCTACTATAGTATTAATAATATATTTATATTACTTTGTAGCATATTTAAATAAAAAGAAAATATAAATAATAATAAGCTAATTCTATTATAAATCTAAGTTATCTATAACTTAACATTAAAAAATAATAGTTTGTTTATTTTTAATTTAACTATTAAAAATATTATATATAATAAGTTTAGCTTTATTAATATACTAAATATAATTAATAGAAACTAAAAAGTAGATAGTGATATTTAACTTAAAATAAAAATAGCTTATTTATATAATTAAAAAAAAACTAATATTACAATTATTATTATGTAGAAAAAGCTAACTAATATATCTAAATTCATATTAATCTTTAATTAAGTATATCTGTTTACTAAAGAGGCTACTTAGCTAAATATTCTATAGGTTAATATTATTCTCTCTCTTAAATAAACTAAAAAAGAGAAATAAAATTTATTTTACTATTAAATAATAATATAATACTATATTAATCTCTAATAAGATAGTAATTAATATATAAATATTTTTAAAAAGTAGTTAGGTAAACATTTTAGCTAATATATAAGAAGTAATTAATTATAAACTTAATAATTTTATAAATATTAAATATTATTAAAAATATATAGATAACTTCTCTCTATATATATTTACTTAAAATATTATAAATATAAAAATAATTTAGATAATAAAAAACTTAATTAGTATTATATATTAAGCTAGAAATATTATAAAATTTAATCTTATTATACAGAGAAGTAGATAAAAATATTATAAATAAGTAAACTAATATTAATAATATAGAACTATTTAAATAACTATTTAGTAAGATATTTTATAACTAATTTATTAAGAATTAGAAATACTAAAATAAGAGGAATAGAAATATTATTAAAGTTAATAATAATTAAGAGATAACAACAATAATAAAAGAGAAAACTAAAAATACTATATTTCTATTATTAAGGTTAAGATTTAGCTTAACTAATAACGTGGTTGATAAGCGAGTCGATCAGACAAGCGAGTCGATCACCTTAGCAAAATTATAGTAGGCTGCACGCGAAAATTTGGTAAGAAATTGTTAGTACAT